AAATTATATAAATTAAATTTTAAAAAACATGTTAATCACTATGGAAGATAGTGACCTAACATTTAATATATTTAATTAATATTTATTTATATTTTGATTTATTTAATAATTTATGAAATTTTTATTTTATTTCTAATAAAAATAATACTTTTATTTTTATTTTATTGCTAATAAATTAATATTTTTTAAAAAAAATAATTAAATAATGTTGTTATAGCTTGTAACGACTTTATTTACTTATTATTTTTTAAGGTATTTTAGATGTTATAGTCTATAATGACTTCATAGAAAAAATTTAAGTTGGTGTGTCGCTGCAGTCGATAACGATTTTAGTTGGATCGTTATCGGCTGTAGCGACTTTTAGTACATGCGTTTCATGGTTTCAAAAAAAAAATTACATACGACACTAGTGTCGCTATAGTATTGCTATGACCCATAGCGACACTTTAGTAAACAGCCCCAAAGGTATAAATAGTTTTAAAATAGCCTCATTTACATAATTAATTTAAAAATAACCCTACAATAGTCAATTAGCCTATCATCCATGTTCTTTCAATTTTGTATGTGGACCTGACTAGGGATGGCAACGGGGCGGGTCGGGTACGAGTTTCATGATACCCGTCCTTGTCCTCGTCTCCATTACCGCGACTCAAACCCATCCTCGTACCCGTATCCATACCTGCTAGGTATATGATTTCCGTCCGCATCCCCGTCCCCTTCGAGTATTGGATATACCTGTACCCGTACCTGTAAAAAATTATTATTATTATTTTTGGAAAAAAAATACACTATTTTTAAATTATTTTTTATTATATTATAATTATAATTAAATTGTTTCTCTATCTCATTTTAATCAAGAGATTTCTTAATAATTAAACAACTATAAATATTTCACATTATAATAAATAATTACACATAATAATATATTAAATTTTTTTAACATAATTCAGTCGGAGACGGGTACGGGTATGGGTACGGGACAGGTATGTATATACCCGTACCCGTACCCATACCCGGTTTAACATATCAGGTTTTACCTATACCCCGTACCCGTACCCGATAAAATCGAGTATTTTCCGTTAAAGTTGGGACAAGTTCAAATATTATCCACGAGTACGGATTTATTTGTCATCTCTAAAGCTGGCTTGCTGAAGTAATAGACACAGATCTGTGCTACCATGTTCTAGGATATAATATGATCCAAGAGATTGATGCATGCTGACCATCAAATTATTTTACTAAGTTATAGGTGGTGACAAATTCAAAACAATTGTGTTACGTCCTTGTTTGGAAAATTTCAGTCATATTTTGCTTTGTTATTTTTAAAGATATTGTGTGCATGATCCGAACATAATAAGAGAAGTATTAGTAATTTTTTTAATATAATAGATGTTAATATTAAAAATAAGATATGAAGAAAAGTTGGCGTAATTTTTTAGACTAGTATAAGTATGATTTTTTTTTTATGCAGTAGGAATTATAATAGAGTAAGTCCTCAAATTAGTTCTTGAATTTAGAAGACATAGGTACCTTAGTTTTTGAAATTAAGGAATTGTTTAATACGATTTTGAAAATATATTACAATCATATTAGTTTAAAATTAAAAAAAGAAGTGATTAAAGTGATAATATTGATATATATTGAAAGATCAAAATAATGATAAATAGTTAAATTTTAAAGCTTATTTGACATTTTAGGAGTTTATTTAAGATCAAATAATGTTTTTCAAATTCAAAAGGCTTAATTAAGTGTTTACTCAATTATAATAAGGTTAATAAGATTCGTCTTTAGGATTTATGCATACTATTTAAGTCTTTTACCATTATGTTGAATCTAGTAGTTCAATTTCAAGGGAGTTTATTGTAATTAGGATGCAATCGGATAAATAGTGCAAAAACACATTTATTGAATTAAGTATTTATATGTTGTTCATAAATTCTTCCAAACAAGATCTTAATTGTATTTTTAGTCTTCAAAATAAATAAATAAATATTATATATATATATATATATATATATATATATTTCGGTCTCTCAATTTTAAGTTTTTTTTGTCTTTGTAATTTTAGAAATGTTATTTTAATCACTATTATTATAACTAATAGTGACAAACAGAAAGGGATTAATAGAAATTTTTTATTTTTATTTTGAGGACTAAAATCACAAGTTTCAAATTTGAATGACCAAAAAAAGTATATAATCACATTTTAGTGATTAAAAACATGTTTAAGTTATAATTTAATCTTTAACATTTATGAGATGAATTGATATGTCTTTTTTATTAAAATAATTATCCAAATATACATGTTATCTTTAAGAATCTTTTTATTTGTTTATCGACATAGTCCATATAATATTTTAAAATTGACAACTAATAATAAATATTCATGAAATGTAACTTTTGTTACTCTTGTATCATTTTTATAAGTTGTTCCAAACGCTTAACCTGTTAATAAGCTCTTAGAATTTTAAAAAATAAAATAAAATAAAATCTTAAAAACGCATTCTTAATCCTAATCTATTCTACTTAGTCTCCGACAAAAATGAGCATCAAACTTCCAACTCTTAGCTTACTAGTAACAACTATTATTTTGTTTAGCAGAAGGGTGACAACTGGCAAGTTTATTAAAGCACAATGTTATGCTATTAAAGTCTGTTCTCTACAATGTTCTGCTTATGCTAGCGTTTTGGGACGTTATAGCTGTTTTTTAGAATGTACAATATAATGCAGTGTGACTAGTCATATGCTTGCCTTATATTTGTCTTGTCTCAACTCATGCACTTGCATATCTCAAACAGTCCAATGTCTTTTCTTTTTTCCTTTTTGTTTTAATATTTTGGAGGACTATTTTAGCTTCTAACATATCTTGCATTTTATTTTAGAAAAAAGTATCAGGTTGATCCAGAAGAAAACTTGGACCATTTGGAATGATACATCCGAATCAAAATGAATTACAACTCATTCCAAATCTTGTAATTTGGCAAGGGTTTGTTGATCAAAGATTCCTTGATGGACCAAAGCTAGATGCTGGCTTTGCTGTTATGTTCACTAGTCGGCACAGACAAATAGGGACATGAACAACCTCTACTAATCTGGCTCTGACAGTGACGAGCCTCACTCTTTCATCAACTAGATTGCATTATCCATTGTATCTTGGCAAAAATTCAAAACAGGGTATTTCGTAAAGTAATCAAAGGAATCGTAATACAGTACACTTGAGCTTTTGTTGCTTAACCTTTTTCTTCACTGTTACTTTACAGTTTCCAATAATTGTGTAATATGTGTTGAAGTTTAAAAATATAAATACATCCAAGTAGTTTCGAGGGTATATATATTGAACAAAGCAAGCAAAGAATGTTTGTGGGGCAACCCAAAAGTCTTCTTTTTACCTAATGAGAAGAAAGAACCATAAAGGTTAAGCATATGCAAGGGAAGGATGTGTATTTTAAAAGATTGGGATTTGTATGAGGTTTTGAACTCGTAAATAGTATCTTCGAGTAACATCAAAATTCCTTACCTTCTTTTCTTGGCTTTTCACATTAAATTTTGAGCTATGCTCGTACTTAAACCTTTTTCACCTCCTACCAATTTCTACATACTAGCATGATACTCAGGGAAAAAATTCAGCTAAAAGAAAACGGTCTAATTAGTGCCTCGAGGTTAATTGATAATAAGCAGTTTAATACATTTTATTTTATAAAAAAAATTAATTATTCAAAACATTTATGTAAATAAAAAAAAATCATCATAATCATAAATATTTGATCTGTTACATGAAACACACATGAATATCGTGTCTCTAGAGCATTTTTTGGCTAGAAACTAAATCAAATCAAATGCTAGTTATTTAAGTAAAAGCCTTCTACACCTGTTTTGCGCATCCTAAATTGATAAGGTACTAAGCACATCACACCAAAATTCAAATAAAAAATGGTAGATGTGATATTGGAATTCATAACAACCCTTTTTTTCTCATTTATGCAATATGTCCCGCCAAGGTAAGAATCTTGACATGCTTCTTTTGCCTCAGTTCATGAGGCACTGGTCCAAAAACTCTGGTCCCAATAGGTTGGCCTTGCTTGTCAACAAGCACCACAGCATTATCATCAAACTTGACCTCACTGCCATCACAACGCCCCCTTTGCATTGCTGCACGCACAACTACCCCATACACAACCTTTCCTTTCTTCACTTTTCCATTAGGATGTGCTTCCTTCACAGATGCTATTATTGTGTCACCTAATCTTGCCCCTTTCTTCCCTTTCAATGCTTGTATGCACATCACCTTCTTAGCCCCAGAGTTATCCACAACCTTGAGAACAGTCCTCATCTGAATGAAGGTGCGTTGTTGCTGCAACAAGGCAAGAGATTTGGTGGTTTAGGGTAAGAGAAAATTGTAGCAGAGGGTAAAAGAATGGATTTGTGACTTATAACATACATATCTTTGTAGCACAAGGAAAAGTAAATGTTTGCAGCAACATAGGTTAACCAACACCATGTTGGGCGCACGAGTATAGTGTTGATGAAGAAAATATATAATTAAAAATAGTGCAAACATGATCTTGCATTTAATTCATACACTGACCTGAGAAAAGAAATTGCCGCATGTCAGCTCATGTGATGTGGAAAATAAACCAGGGGAACTGTTGCTTAATCCCCCGAGAAGAGAACGGCCCACTATTTTGGTTTTTCAACACATGAAATAAAAAGAAGTAATAAGTTATAAATGAAAGTATCATCTTATCAACATAAAAAGTATTCACTTCATGGAGGTATCTGAGGCATGAAAGCAAAACGGAGCTTATTACATGAGATTTCAAGCTTGCTCTAATTCCAGTTGTTAACAAAAGAATTATTGTTGCTACATGTTTTCAAACAATAAAATCTTCTTGCAATAGTTTAAGACTTAAAGCACATAACAGGAGGTTCAGGAATCTTCTCAGTGTGCTACAAATGATACAACAACAAAAAGGGAAAAAAAAAATACATCATCAGTAATAGCAACAATTCCTTAATATTTTATGCATAAAAAACAGCCTTTCAAACATCGAGTGCATAAACACAAAAGGAAGCTACGAGTACAAACCCACCCTATACGAGGTGAAGAGGAAAATTTTGCCTAAAATGTTGGAATTACACCGCATCCAAATGCATGCCACTCTTGCTAAAAGAGTACATGTCCAAAGCAACTTATTATCTTTCTAAGTCCCAAAAATTTGTTCATTTTCACTTAAGCAGAGAAAGCTTCAGCAGAGGCAAGAAGAAGAAAATGCAGAGCTCGCCTTATGAGTTAGAACTTTAATCATTCAGGGCCTTCTTTTCTGATGAAATTCACTACTTCAATTTGTGAATGGGTGTGTGAGTCAACACTTATTATGAATTGAGCTTCATTTCTGTGGGGTTCTAAAAGCTGTTTTAGGTATTTAGTTCTCTTACTTGACAGCTTATTAAAGTGGAATTGATTCCTGATTTTCATGGTCCCTAAGGTTTAGCCATTTATTCAAATTACACAATGAATAAAATTGTCTGAGATTTATAATTCAGAGAGAACAAGGCAGGGAGACATGGTATGCATTGTGTAGTTGTAATTCTAGCCAGGTTATCAATGGTGATTGGCAGAATATGGCATAAGGCCAAAATTTCACCATATAACCACACCATTGCAGCCTATGGCACTACCATAGCACAAATTACCTATGGTGGGTGGCGGTGTTGTAAAAAAGCCACGTTATAGGTTTATGGCATCAATATAACAGTTATTTAACAACATAGGATTCTAGGCATGAAATTTTCTCCTTGCTCTAGAAAAGGGGTAGTAAAAAACAAACTAAGAGTGCAGGGTCACAACTACACAAAATGTATAACTATGTAAAGGTAGGTCACAACTACACAAAATGTATAACTATGTAAAGGTTGTTCAGTCTCCCGGACTTATTGACTTGATGGTAAAGTGAAGGGGCTTCCCAGTCTGCTAAACAAAAAAGAGGAAAAAAAAAAACCTTGAGTTAACAATCCTATTGTATTTCAAGAATTAGATGAAATTTAGCTTAGGGCCATATCTAGTAGTATTCATAAATCATAACTCAATCTTGAAAATTAAAAAAAAATAAAAAAATCTGACTTAGATGCTGCAGTACGTTGCCTTGGAAACCAAATTCAACGTTAAAGATGGCACATAACCAGAGAAAGTAATGGAAACTGCATTACCGATGAGTTACGATGCACAGATACTTCTATATGGCTACCGTACTCAATTACTATACCAGATACTCATTTGGTACATGTGGGTATGTAGTTAATACACAAGGTATTTTTTCTAACAATTTTTCTTAATATATTTTTTGACACAACTTAGTTATAAATTACAGTAGCACTTTATCAATATATTTGAAGTACAAGTCACTCAATGCAAAAATCTCACTTTATATTTTGTTACTATATAAAAAACACGCAACACAACTAGTAGTAGTAGTTCATTCTTTCAAATATGACAGATATACCTCAATTCATTTTCAATTCAGCAGTCAAAAAGTGCTATACTGGCAATTGTTCCAGTGCAACCAAATTAGTGGTTGCAGCATAGTCTTGGCCACTGAATAGTGTTACTCATATTCAACAATATTTTTTTTGCCCCTTTTTAACATGCCAAAGGAATCCTTGGGGGGGGGGGACTGAAATTAAAAAAACTCACTAATACATGAAATTTCAGTGAAGTCAAAAATCAATCTAATACATAAGGGCTATATATATATAAAGGATCCGAGCAGTGTCCTTTAGAATTTACATAAATAAAATTACATTGGAGACCACATTGAAGCTCACAGAACCAGAAAAAACATATACTTGCGATAAAACAAACCTCAAAGTTCCATTGAACTTAGAGCATCAATGCAACGCATTATCAGGTTTTGGAAATAAAAATCTTAAGCTTTGAAAAAGAAAACGAAAAACACAATTTGCATTGTGAATATAACATACCACGAGAACATCTGGAAGCAAAAGTCGCAGCCATCTTCAAATTTGAAGTCTTTTTTTCTCCCTAGCAGAATAAACACAAGATTTTCACTCTATAACGAAATACAAAAAAGCAGCCAAAAGGGATATAGAGAACCAGAAAACCACTAGAAATGCTACAATTCACACTGGACAACCAACATTGAGATTTTGGAAAGAGAGACATATGATGGGCCAACCGGGTTCATCTGGCCCAGCCCAAAAGTGAACAGTTAAGAGGATGTTTAATTAAACTACGGTTCTGAACCAAAAGAAAATAAAACATGGTTGTGTCTACCTTAACCTTTTTTTCAACTCAATGCATCATAATTTTAATCTATTAAAATTTAATTATACAGATAGTTTCTTATTCTTTTTAGATAGTTTTTTAGTGTAATTTCTATATATTATTAAGTGTAAAAAATTATACACTGTCAACTAATTAGACACTATAATAGTTATGATTTTTAAAGTAGTTATTGTAAAAAACAACTAATTTATTATATGTGAGTTGTGATTAGTGTCATAAAATCACTTTACAATGTTGTAGATAAAATATCAACTCTTTTACACATATCTTTTACAAGCAACGTTGAGAACTATCACTTTTAATGGTGAAACTGCAGGAAATCTAAATAATAATAATAACAATAATAAAAAGGAAATGGTACCATAAATTAAAAGGAAAAAAAAGGAAAATAACCTACTTAAAAGGCTTTTAAAGAAGAGGAGATACAAAACATAATTCACTAGTCAGCTTCTACAAAAGATTCACGACATTATTAACCAGTCCAAGTATCCATCATACAATGGTACACGTACATGTATACTAAATCTATTGATGTCTCAACTAGACCACAATTAAAATGAATTTCTTTTATTTTTAAAGGGACTAATAGTTTTTTATTATCAATAAGTGCACAATAAGTATAATGTTATGCATGGCATATAACTAAAATACATGTTGACTGCATAGTAGTCAATCCCGGATAGCGGCGCGGAGCGGCCGACCCTAAAACTGGGATAGCGGGATGACGCGGAGCGGGATAACCGCTATTTAAATATTAATTTATATATATTAAATAATTAATAATATATATATAAAAGCTAAAAAACAAAAAAAATAACTCTAAATTCATGCATTAAACATTTTTAATAATTAAAAGTTCATAGTACTCAAACAATACATAATATAAAATGTCTCCAAAACAAAGTGTTAAAGCTCTAAGTAAGTAAAAAATTAAACATTATAGTTTAATCTTCTTCCTCATCAAGATTAAAGTCTTCCTCTCCCTCAAATTCATCACTCCCACTAGCATTAGAATTATATTCTTCTTCTTCCTCTACATCATCATCCTCGTCTTCTAGTACTTCCATCACTTTTTTTCCTTTATCTTTCTTGGATGTAGATGCAATTGTTGATGTCTTGTTCACTTGTGTTTGTCTCCTAGTGTATTTCAAAGGTTCACCGGCACCACTTGCTTGGGCAACATCTCTCCAAGTCAAAACATCATCA